GGTGCCTCAGCACCCAGTCTGAGAACCGCTGTGTTAACGCATCGTTAGCCCGACCCGGTGACGTCAGCAGCACGGCTAGTCAGCTCGAGCCGGTAGTGTCCAGATCACGGAGGATGTCACTGTCTTGCTTCTTCTATGCTAAGAATTTTCTGCTACATTTTCAGGGTGCTTTATTATTATCGTACCCCGAACAGGGAAAATCCAAAGGTCACGGGACAGTCTAATATTTCAGGGGGTGGTAGCTAGTAGCTAGGCTGAGTGCAGTCGTGGGACCTAGGCTGCATGCAGTTGTTGGACTCAAAGAGTCAGATGGACAAACTAGAGCGCATACAGAACGCAGATATGCGAGGTCATTCTGGGTTGCACCAGAGACACCCCGGTGGTGTTTATGCGATACAGCCTTGGTTTGCCGACTGTTGCAGGTAGGCAAAAAGTGCTGCTGGTGAAGTCATATTTCAGGGCAGCTGCAGACACAGACCACCCTTTGCACAAAGCTCTGGGTGCAGTTAAAGGTCAGCGGCTGATAAGAGGTGAGTCATAAATGGCTCAGGCAGAAGACACAGTCAGACAGGTTTGCATCCTTGAGAACATTAGGCGTGGAAGGAGTGGGTCAAAGTGCCACCTGAACAGGCAGACTTGTGATGATCACACTGAGCCGGGAATGCAGAGACTGGCCAGCAAGTGCCACGGAGATGGACATTCAGCAATTAATTTAAGATAATGCTTGCTCAGAAGATTTAATCATTTGCACAGACGGTTCAGTGTCAAGAGGCAAAAAAAGTTCTTGGAGCCTCTTAGCAAACGTTAAGGAGAGCTTAGCATATGATACTACAACATCCAGCTTAACAATGGAGGTGGAGGTGGTTGTTGCAGCTTTCCGCTATTTAGAGAACACGGCGCGCACACACACACACACACACACACATACACACACACACGCACACATCGTAATTGTAACTGCCTCAGAAAGCATGCTGAGAAAGATCAGGACAGGCATGATTCGTACAGAGTGACATGCTTCGCTGCGGAGGACAAGAGAGAGGAGTATTGTCTGGATTTTTTTCACCGGGGTACGCCAATGTGTTGGGAAATGGACAGGCGGACAGACTGGCTGGCTCTGCACAACTTGGTGGAATACTGATACATGATAAGGCAGACGTGGCTAGTGCCTTGTGGAAGAGCGTGAACAGTTCGGAGAAGCAGATGGATCACCACAGTCTGGTGAGATTGAACATGGGAGGAGTGACGAGAGGTTCTGGCAGATGCTGCTCGAGGCTCAGAGGAAAGGCAAGACAGACGTTTAATAAGAATGCTACTGGCACCATCAGTATCGGAACTCTTCGCTGGCTGCTGAAGATGGGGACAGCGCTTATGGGAATGCCCCGAGTGCTGTGATGTCGGATCTTGTATCAAATTAAATCAAATCAAACCGCTGACATTTTCGATCTCCTCATTAATAATTTTAATTCATGGTTTTTGTGCTGTTTTCAGCTGTGGATTTTTTTTTTTTTTTTTTCAATTTGGAAAATGATTTTCGTTTTTTTTTTCCTTCTGTGCATTTTGACTGTCAGAATTATTTGTTCTTAGTCTTATATACCGTTTGAAAGGATAATTCCTTCATCTGCATATCTATTTACTATACTATTTACAATTTCGAGAGACCCGCTACATTCTGTTGTCCGTCTCTTCCAGGAAAGTCGATAAAAAAATATAATATTTGGAGGACTCTTCTCCTTAAAAACTGTCTGTGAACGGAAAAATGGTTAAACCCTTTACATATTCACCGGGGCTGACACAGCAGGGGCTGTAAACCCTTGTTTAGATGCGTAAAAGGAATAAAAATTGTGCTGACTGGCAATATAACATATTGTAAACAATTTGACTGATTAAAAAATACTTAAAACAGAAATTAAAGACAGTTCTTATCCATGAAAAATGACCCTTTTCCACGCCTCTAGACCTATAGCGCATATAGTTCTAGACCTATATTTTATAGACAAATCGGCAGAAGATAGGTGATTTGGTCAGCATCACACCTGCCGCCTTTGCTTCCCAGAACTGCACCCGGTACCCACTCAAGGCTGGGTTGACGTGGGAGCCAAGGACATTTTTGAAAATGTCTGCTCTGCCAGGGAGCAAACCCACAACCTTCTGATCCGCGGCGAGCGTCTAGCCGCTCCGCCACGGCCACTTGTTCTTCGCATAGCTCACCTAAAATATTTTAGGATGGGGGAAGGGCTATGTCAACCCCCCCCCCCCCCACCCCCAAATACACCTCTTTTTTTAATTAAAAAAATTAAGTAGTCAAAAGGCTTGTGCCCCTAGGGTCTGATATCTAAGATCCAAGCTCTAAGTTACCTAATCTGTCAAATGGTGATGATGAAGAAGATGACAATATAAATAATAATAATATTAATAACAATAGTGATTACAATTAAAAAAAAATGTATGGTGTTGGCCAAAGACACAAATAATACTTCTAAAGTAAAAAATGTACAAACACAAAACCTGTTTACATGCGTGGGAATGAGCGAGAGGCTTGGCCTTCTTCCTAATCGAGTAGGAGTAGCCTAACGGCGCCGCCAGGACAAAATTTGGAGTTAAAAATCTACCGAAAGTATTTCAGGATCATCGCCAGGTCTACAGAGCCTGTGCACTGTGCTGAGCTTCTTCGGACTCAGACATGAGTTAGAAAAAGAACTGAGCACTTATGGGGTACTACACGTGTGCCATGATGTTGATCCGTTGTTAAAACTTCAAACTTCAAACATCTCACACATTTGAGGAATTGCAGAGACCTATTCCGAACCTGGAGGTTTAGTAGTTAATATTGCAGAGTCTTAACATCGTTTCTGAAGTTGGATCTCTTTACTCCACGTATTGGTTCTAGAGCACGGAGCATGAATAGACCCACTGCCTCGCTAACAAGCATGTCTTAAGAGTTGACTAGTGCCTTCCTTTGAAGCCTCAATGCATCTGGCTGAAAGGCAAGGAACCAACAATCTGCATACACATAAGTTAGATCTGTAAAACGGATGTGTATGCAACACTCTGGTTCTTGAACAAGACTAAAGTTTAAAGGTGGATGAACAACCAGACCTTTCCGCTGGGGTTTACAGCCGGTAAATAAGAAAAAGACGAAAAACCATATCTCTTTACAGTTCCATGATCATTTGCCAAAGTACATTAGTATCACATTTTTGTTTCGCTGCGTGACTTCGTAAATTATAGTAATTCCCTTTTGGTTTATCAAACTCGCCCCAACTCTCAACAGCCACTTTAGTACTGCATTTTGTTTATTGAATCCAATTTGTTTCGTTTTCTTGATTTTGTTTAAAGTCTGCTTCTTATCTTCCCAGTGGAACAGAGGCCATGAAGCAAATTACTTTAAGATGTTGTTCGCAAGCGAGTATAGCTTACTCCATGCTCACCCATTCTTTTTTTTTTTTTCAATTCTTCTTCGCGGAGAACCTATTTCATCTTTGTTGGTTGGGTTTTTACTCAGTCGTGTATCTAACATGGTCATAGCTAGTTCCAGGCGAAGGAAACATACGTATATATGGCAATGAAGACGTCCAAAAGAGAAACCCTCAAAGGAACGTTGATGACAGAGGCCAACGGGGGTAGACTGAATATAATCTATTGTATCGAAAGATTTGAACAGGATGGGACGGAATGGGGGGAAAAGACTGCAAGTTTAATGTGACATGTACATGGCGCAACAGGATGACGTTGATAATTCTTGGTTGTTTTTTTTTTTTTAGATTATAGTGTTTTACGGAATGAGGCAGCCAGTCGCAATCCCAACACAACCCCTTATTCCAGTCGCTCTCAACCTTCCTAATGTCGCGACCCTTTATTACAGTTCCTCATACAATTATTTTCGTTGCTACTTTATAGCTTCAGTGAATATGTGTGTTCCGATGGTCTTTGACGACCCCTGTGAAAGGGTCGTTTGACCCACAAAAAGGTCGCGACCCATAGGTTGAGAACCGCTGCCTTAGTCGCTTCTTACTACATGCTTGACATAATGCCATAGTAGGGTTCTTGGGAACGCTATCTGGGTACTTCTGTAGATCGTTTTAGTAAGCTGTTTACAATGTTATCCTTGTCCGCTATCGTTCCCACTTTCTCATCGTCATCGTCTTCATCAACTGTCTTAAATACATTAAAATGCACACACAACACACACACACACACACACACACACACACACACACACACTCACACACACAGACGAGAAGAAGAAGAAAGGAAAAGAAAAAACATGTTTGCAAAACAAAATAAATGTTGGTTCACCAACCACTAGTCTAGGCGTCTCGAATGATTTAATGTCTTAGCATTAGTCGAGGTCGGGTCACCCCATACTTGCTCCGCTCCTGTGCCAGTGAAAATCAAATAAAATGTCCCTCGCTGTCTTATTTGAAAAACGTGAACAAACAGTTAGTCCCGGCACAGTTCAGATAATGCGCACACAGTAAATGCATAAGGCAGTTGCTAGCTAATAGTCGCCACCGGAAATGCTGTTTGTCGTCGATAGAAATAGTCGGTTACACTTAAGTTGGCCACACACACAATTATTGCTTAAAGTATTTCTCCAGCCCACACGTAATCAGGCTTCTGGCCATACTGAATACCAATTCATGACTCAACCGCAGCACAAATGAAAGGCTTTCCATGTGTAAAACATAGCTCACATGCTATTAGTGTCAATCATGAACACTGACTTCAGAAGACAGAAGGAAAATAATCACGACATAAATTAAATATTTACTTACTATGCTATGCTAGGTGATATCATGAGCAGAGTCGGCAAAGAGCCAATACTGAACTTTATAGGTCGACAACAAATCAAATAGTTTTGTCATGTAATAAGATTGGCATCAGACAGGACGTCACAGAGAGCAATGTTATACAGATACAGCGGTAAAAGATTAAGAGGTCGACCCCGCAGAAACGGACTGCAGAAATATCAGTGGCTGAAAAGTACTTTATACGAAGCGAGCAGAAGGGGTCGTTAAAGAGAATTCTGGCGGCCCTGATTCCACAAGGCATTCCTGGAGTAGAGAAAATAAGAAGAACCCAAAACAAAATTTAAATGTATCAAAATTGTTTTTCTAAAACGGCTGTATCAATTCGAGTCAGTAAAGCAGCAGTGTCAACTCCGGCCCCAGGGACAAAAGTGGCCATCTGAACAATTTTTTTTTTAACGCTGCGAGACTGGTGTAAAATAGCTGTCTAATCTGGCCACTGAGCTCATAAAATAGCTGAACACACAAAACCATGTTCGTATGAAAAAAAAACAAAATTTTAATATTAACATCCAAACTGTTGTCGCCAAATCTTTGATCCTGCAAGTACCACACGTGTAGTGGACAAGCTCAGTCATTAGAATGAACAATTCTACGCCTTAGAACAGGACACAATCGACTTCGCAGCCACATGTACATATAATTTAAAATCGGCAAATCAGCCTAACGCACATGTGCAGTGTCACCTGAGACAATAGATCATGTCCACCAAGACTGTCTCAAATACAACATATCAAGGCAAAACTTGTGGCCAAGAGAAACATCGGTGCAAGTTAAACTTTACAGGTGGCTGAGTGAATTACAAAAGACAGTGAAGTTTATACTAGAGACAGCATTGCAGAAATAGATAATCTATTTCAAGAAAACGAAAAAGAAGAAGAAGAAAAAGAATGAAAAGTTTTTTTTAGTGTTCATATTCACGTGCTCACATTTCAAAATTAGTGCGATTCAGCCTAAAACTTCATTGGCTTAACTGCATCTTTGCTGGATTTCTTGATTAATGATGTGTAAAATCCTTCGCTTGCTTTAACTGGTGTTCATCAGTTTTGATATTAGTTGTTCTTCCTTTTTCTAGAGGATGTCATCGTTTCTGTTTGGTCTACTTTGATCTTCATATCATATCGCATTTTTATATATTCTTGTGGTTGTACTGCTGTTGTTGCTATGATTTCATGATCATCGGTGAAAAGAAATTCATTTGGTAATTCTCTGATGTTGTCCCCTTCGCTGTTGGTAGCTGATTTGCAAATTTGGTCGACGTCTGTGATGAACAGTAATGGTGATAGAACACAGCCCTGTCTCACTCCAGATATATTGTAGAAGTTTTCTGACATTCATCTATTTGTACTAACTCTATATTGAATCTGCACGTATAAACTCTTGCACAATTTTATAAGATCTTCGTTTGCTCCGTAATCCTGTAGTACCTTCCATTATTTATTCCTACTAACTTGATCGAAAGCTTCCTCTTTGTCTACGAATGTGACGGGTAAATCTATATATTTTGTATAGCAGTGTGCACAGTGTTTTGTTTTTTTAAACTGGCTTTTACAATGACTAATATTACTTTTAGAAACGTTTCACTGTTTGGATGTTTAACTGCAACCTCATATACTCTTTATCTCGTGAGTGTTGCTGGTTGTCATTTGCTAGTGCTGGTTGGGTGAGGAGGGGGGGGGGGGGGGATGACAGGAATATAACCCATTTTCTTCAAGCATATTGTAAAAAGAGACTATTTAACTTTTTAAAGTCACAAGCAACACATGGTGTCTAAATTATTAAATTCATTGATTCAATTTAATAGCCAGCTGCACTCTCTTACTTTCACCATTCGGTCAGAATATTCTAGAGAAATCTGGTAATCTAGACATTCACTGTACATTGATACTCTGAGGGTAACACATTCATGATTTGGCATCATGATTTTTTTCATCACTTTGTTATCTCCTGTGAAACCTTGTGATACTGACAGAATTAGGGGTTTGATTAAGTCGGATATTTTGGGCCGTAAAGCACAGACATCAGAGACTTCCTACAGCAAAACGAGTCAACAGCTCTTTCAAGAGAGACGAGACAAGACGAAGTCTATAAGTCGTAGACAGGTTTAATGACCTGGCCCTTGTAGAGCAATTTTTACGAAAGCCATGGAACTCGTCACTACGGGGTTCGTGCTTTGTGCACGTGCTCAGGCTAATTAGCTAGCATTTCTAAGAAAAGATATGGAGATAATTTAGGCTAAAAGGATGCAATGCAAGTGATCCTACCGATGTAAAACCTCTTTATCCAGTTATATAAACAAATAGCAAGGAAAGGCGGAGAGATATATACCGGGTGGCTTAGCTATATGGATAAGGTGAGACAAGAAACTGATTAGACCTATAATTCTAGTGATCGTATGAAATGGAGAAACACAACAGCCTACGCTTATTGGCACGGCACATAATGATGACGATTCACCGAAAACAAACGAGTTAAAAACGTAACAGTATCCTCGCATGATAACAAAACATTAGCGCCTCTGCTTGTATGGGAAACTAGGGATAGTAATCTTATTCTTGCAGTACTTTGCTATGTAATCCTTTTCTTGTAGTACTTTGCTATAATTCGTAGAGTTTCTTGCGTAAGCATTTTATAGCTAAAGAAGCCTGGTTGAGCATCAGCAAGAAAAAAAAATAAGGCAGTGTACTTAAATTGTCAATTAAAACATCCATTATGCCAGTATACCCTAATGAAACGCGGAATCATCTCTAATGGGTTTCAAAAGAAATCAATACGTTTATAATTCTTTCTTCTTAAACCATTTTTTTAACAGCAGGAGGTGTTAACATGTCTAACGTAGAAAAGACGTTGCGGAAAAGTGAGGAAATGAAACAAGAAAAAAGTAAAGATCCCTTTTCACGCCTTAGGTGCATCATGCATATTTTTACAGACCAATTAATTGGCACTGGGTGGATAATGTGCAGCCGTCTTTACTTCCCCAGAACAGCCATCCTGTAACCAATTTTAGGCTGGGTCGACCTGCAACGACGTCACATACAATAAAAAAAAATCCACACAACCAGCAGTGGGTTTCGAGCGCGGTACCGCGGAATTACGAGTCGGACTCGCAACACCGAAGCCACGGTGCCCACTGATGAAATAATTAAGTGAAAATTACTGTTCCATGGTAAAATGATGCAGGTCGCTGGTGCCCAGTTTTTAAAAAGCTGGAAATTCCCAAAGAGAAGCTGGTGGCCGATTGATTAATGACACTGGGCTCTCGATCGGGAACCCAGGTTCGAATGCTCAAGAAAGTAATGACTTATTTCTATCAGCAGCAAAAAATATAAACCTAACCTACACAGCCCTACACTGGCCATGCTGTCATAAGTATCTAGGTTTACGATATCTATGTCCTGATATTATTACCTCCTGCCGACCCCAAATGGGACGCAATTTTTTTGTAATTTCAAAGTCCCACTCCGGCTGTTGTTGGGGCCCTAAATATAACCTAACAATTAAACGGGGTTTCTGGAACTTGCGCCCGGGTGATTCTCATTCGAATGATGACACTATGTGTCACCGGGTGTTTATTGTTCGTTGTGCGGTCCTGGTGGTGTTGAATTTCATTCATTCATTCAGACCTCTGTACTACGTTAAGTTAGTAGCGTATCCTTTACAGGACGTTGCAGAACCAACCCTAACAGCCCCTGGCTGTTGTGTGGTTTTTCTAGGCAATTTACATGCAGTAGTTTGTCATTGCTTCCTGGATGGTCGGTTTTTTTTATACCAATGTCGAAACCAACGCAAGGCGCATTGACAGCTGGGATCGAACCTAGCATCCCGGCATTACGAACCGAAGCGTTCGCATCGACTTAGACAGAGAGCCGACAAAAAAGTTAGTTGCGTATCCTTTACAGGACGTTGCAGAACCAACGCTAACAGCACCTGGCTGTTGTCTGGTCTCTCTAGGCAAATTTACGTCCAGTAGTTTGCCATTGCTTTTTGGACAGTCGGTTTTCTTGATACCACTGTCGAAACCAACGCAAGGCGTTTTGCAAGCAGCTGGGATCGAACCAGGCATTCCGGCCATACGACGCGAAGCGTTCGCATCGTCTTAGCCACAGAGCCGACCCTCTGTACTACACAGCCATAAAATATTAAGAAATACAGAGTATAAAGACATCAGTTCTTCAATTATCTGTCTTTAGCTGTGACCTCGTATGACATGATATCCTGTAACTGAAAATGTGTAATGTGTATTGAGGTGTGTCTTTAAAGTGTGTGTCCCATCAGTTCTCAATAGGAAGGCATGTTACTTTGCGAAGGGTGCCCTTATGTAACTCTTTTATACAGTTGAACGAGT